GCAAGTGGTCCCGGGCTACTCTGGTAGCCTAGGTTTCGACTGAATCTGGCCGTAATTGCAGCTGGATACGTCCGGCAAAGTATGCCGCTTTGAGGGGAGCGGGGGAGTCGTGAACACGGTAGGTTGATGCCTCGGGGGTGCGTTTTTAAAAAAAAAAATTCTCAACTCTTTTTAGAAAAAAAAAAACCTCTCTTTCCTCCTTGCAAGAAAAGAAGGTTGGATTATTCTGTCCACTCCATTTGTGGTTTTTCTCTCTTTTTTGTGTACTTTTTAATTAAAGATGGGGCCTTTTTTGGACGCAGACCCTTCCTTTTTTGTTTGACGTAAGATTGAGGAGCTATGTATGTGAGGTTTGGTTTCCTCCGCCTTTTCTTTACCTCTTTGCCTTTTGGCTGCGTGCAAGTGGGTCTTTATGACACACGGGGATGGGGGCAGCCAGCGCTCAACCTGTCATCCACGTGGCTGGCCTTGTACGTAAGAGGTGACGAACAGGTGGGGCTTTCCTTCCTTCCTTCTTTTTCTTTTTCTTGTTTTGTCTTTTTCCGCCTTCGCGCTCCGATTTCCAGTGTGACAATATATATATGTATATGTAATATGTAATATCTATCTATCTATCTATATATCTATATATACGATATATGAGGGGATTCTGCAGACTGTTGAGGGTTCAGCCTCCTGATGAGTCGGTGAAACTCCGACGAAACAGTTTGTCACAGCCCCTCGTTTGTTGTCCTCTTCTCTCTCTCTGCCTACGGTTTACCGGGCAGTTCTGTTTGTGACGATATATAGATAGATAGATCGATGAATGATTAGAAGGTGGATGGGAGGGAATTGACGAAGCGAAGGTTGGGAGGAATGGTTGGGATCGCGATGTAGCAGAGCTTGCGGGGTAAAAGGAGGAGGAGGAGGAGGAGAAGGAGGGGGAGGAGGAGGAGGAAGACGAGAAGGGGGTTGCTTTGCTTGCCAATCAACTAATAAATGTATGTTATTATATTGTATAATATTATATGTACGATTCATATATATCTCACAGTGCGACAATCTATCTATCTATCTATCTATCGTCAAACAGAGCTGCCCGGTAAAACGTAGGCAGAGAGGGAGAAGAGGAGAAGAGGAGAAGAGGAGAAGAGGACAAGAAACAAGGGGGTGTGACAAACTATTTCGTCGGAGTCTTGCAGACTCGTCTATATACATCGTCACAGAGTTATCAGAGCGCAAAGCGAAACAAACAGAAAGAAAACAAGAAAAACTTCATTCGTTTTTAATCTTCTTCCTTACAAGACCCCCCCTGTTCATAAAGAACCTCTTGCGTACAAGGCCGCTCACGTGGATGTAGGTTGAGCGGCGGCTGCGCCCCCCCCCCCCCCCGTGTGTCGTATCGACCCACTTGCACACAGCCAAAAGGCAAAGAGGCAAAGAAAAGAGGAAGGGAACAGCCAAATAATACAGAACAGGGGAAGGCGAGGGGTGGATGAACGACACGTGTCGTCTAGTCGTGGCAGGTCAGCGCCATCTGGCGCTCGTCATGATGCATGGTAAAGGACGGTGACGTGGCAGCAGTGGGTGGATGGGAGGATATCTGGGGGGTGGAGGAGCCTGGAAGAAGCTGCTCTTTCTCTCTCTCTCTCTCCCTCTCTCTCTCTCTCTCTTTCTCTCTGCCCCTCCCTCTCTCTCTCTCTCTCCCCTCCTTTCTCGCAGAGCAGAGGACGCTAAGACGCCATCTCTGCTTGGCGTCGAACGAAGAAGAGAAACGACACGTGGCAACAGTTGGAGGAGGTGGAGGAGCGTGATAGGTGGTTTGACGTGATTTTTTTTTTTTTTTTTTTTAACTGACACGTGGCGGTGACACGTGTCCGCCGTAGCAACGCCGTAGCAAGTCAGAGAGACAATGTGGACTGGCGGATTGATGCGATTTTTTTTTTTTTTTTAATTTTTATTTTGTGAACTGACATGTGGCTGTTCGACGTTTTTCTTTGTTTTTTTGTTTTTGTTTTGGGAACTGACACGTGGCTGTGTTGTGTGACTCTCGACCTGAAATGCGGCGGTGTGATACCAACGGGCCTACTGAAGCACAGTTGGTATACATACACCCACGAACTGTTGAAATATGAATCTGACCCAAGTTCGAATCCAGATACAATCAGATGTGTGACCAGAACAAACAAAATCATTATTCTGAATTTATTTAATTTACTTGGGGCCGGTCAGTTCAATGATTGATGATATCCAAAGGCCGTCGTCGTCCTTTCAAAGAGAAAGAAGAAGAGAGAGTGGGAGGGAAAAAAAAAAGAAAAAAAAGTGATGATATCCGAAGGCCGTCGTCGTCCTTTCAAAGAGAAAGAAGAAGAAAGAGTGGAAAAAAAAAAAAAAAAAAGTGGCGTTGGGATGCGGTTTCTTTCTGAAAGGACGTTGATAACGCGTGTCAGACAGCTACCGTCTTCGCCCGAATAGAACGCCCGGTCAGTATAGCTGCATTTGGCCCAACTTTCAGTCCAGATGCAGCGATAATGACCGGGCGTTCTATTCGGGTGAAGACGGTAGGGCGCTGTGATTTTCGAACTGACACGTGGCAGTGTGACCTGATTTCCAAACCGACACGTGGCAGTGTGTTGTGATTTTGAAACTGACACGTGGCAGTGATGTGATTTTCAAACTGACACGTGGCAGTGTGACGTGATTTTCAAAGTGACACGTGGCAGTGTGACGTGATTTTCAAACTGACACGTGGCAGTGTGACGTGATTTGATGTGACAGAGGCGGTGTGATTGGATGTGGTGACACGTGGCAGCGGCGTGATTTGATGGCGTGAATCATGTGGCAGAAGACGCTGCTGTGAAGACTGTTTGGCGCGCAATGCTATGCCGGACTTGTGCAACTCCATGAAGCGTGGAAGAGGAGGGGGAAGAGGAGGAGGAGGAGAAGGAGGAGGAGGAGGAGGAGGAGGAGGAGGAGATGGTAGTAAGAAAGAAGCAGGCTTGAGGTTGCTGAGTGGGTTGCCTAAGCTCTGGTGGCTCAACGGCTATATGACAGGGCAGCTCAATGACGGGGGATGAGGGAGTAGATCCCACGGGCATCGAAGGGGCAGCAGCCGCGGACGGGCTATCTGATGGAGAGGAGCGGGGGGACGAAGAGAGAGAGGAGGAAAACAAGAATGGAATTGACTGTGAATCTTCTTATGCAATTGACCGTCGCCGGATCTTAATCTCCCCATCATCATCATCATCATCATCAACGTCAACATCATCATCATCAACAACAAGATCATTAACGTTGTCGTCAACAGTCTATGATGACGAGCGGAGAGGCTGGTCCTTGGAGCGCGCACAGGGCGCGCAGTGTGCTGCGGATGGTGAGCGGAGTAGCTTGTCCGCGGAGCGCGCGCAGGGCGCGCAATGTGCTGCTGCTGTCGCAGGCCGATCGTCGCTAGAGACACGCTTTGCAAAAGATGGCCGGGATCTGGATCTCCATCCAGACAGGCAGCATGGTTGGATGGGAGTCCCGACAGGCGTCCACGTAAGCAGTGACGGCGAGGAGGGGGGGGTGCCTGATAATTGTGATGATGACGTGGCGAAATCGAGCGCCGGAGGCTTGGAGCAGTCGCCGAGGAGGAAAGATGGAGGAGGAGGAGGAGGAGGAGGAGGAGGGGGGGGGGAGAGAACGCTACGACCTCTCTTCTTCACACCGGATCAGCATCCACCAGCGGCTGAGTTGGATGACTCGGGCCACGTGGCAGCCTATGCGGGGCAGAGGGCTGCCTCTCGTCGGGATCGGGACGTCTTCCCCTCTCCTAAGGAAGGCGGCGATCGCGATCGGGGTGGAGTTTTGCCGAGCAGGGCCGCTTTCTCCTCCCACACCGAGGAGGAGGAGGAGGAGGAGGAGGAGGAGCTTAGCTGCGCCCTTAAGCTAAACGACAAAACGCAGGAGGATAAGGCAGTTTGTCGTTTCGCGGCGTGCACAGCAACAGGAGAAGGAGGCGCCCAGGAGGAGGAGGAGGAGGAGGAGGAGGGAAAGCTGACGGTTCAGGACAGCAGCACGGCATCAGCCAACGGCGGAGGGCGTGTGTCAGCCACGGAGCAGAGGACTTCTTCCTCCACGGCGATCGTTGGCGGCAAAAGTAGCGCTTCCTTAGAGGGCAAATCTAACGGTGCAGAGCGGAGGCCTAACAGTGGTGCGGGGAGTCCGACGGCTGTTTTTATCGTTGATGGTGGCAAAGCGCTACATTCCCCGCACGACTGCACAGCAGACATAAACGACAACGATGTCTCCGGCTATGGAGGCAGTCGCGTTCCGCAGCTGGTGGTAGAGTCGGCTATGGCGGCGGAGGGGGAGGAGAGGGAGGGGGAGGAGAGGGATCGAGGGTGTGGAGATGCTCCAGATTGTGGTGATGATGCTGCACGTGGCGTCGTCACTGAGTTGTCGGGAGGGGAGGAGAGGGAGGAAGAGAAGAAGGAGAAAGAGGAGAAAGAGGAGAAGGAGAAGGAGAAGGAGAAGGAGAAGGAGGAGGAGGATCTGTCATCCGGACATCGCGCATATGCTACGATGGGGGATTGTGAGAGAGGAGCGATTTCAGAGAGAGTACATGCTTGTCAGGAAAGAGTGGGTTCAGAAGGCATCAACGATTCTGCAACCGATCGCCTTGCCAAGGTGGTTGCGTGTGCCAGCAGCTGTACAGCGGGGAGGAGCGAGTTGAGGACTACTGGCGGACAGTGTAGCAGCGATGGTGGTCGTCGGGATGCGTCAGGCGGCAGCCACTCCGCACATGCCACGTGGCGCAATGACGAGAGAGGCGTGATTTCAGAAAGCATTGATAGTTGTGAGGAGGTCCGTGCTTCGTCATTCGATGGATGTGCTGTTGCCGCCGAGTCCTCCCTTGGGAGTAAAGATGATCTTCCCTCTGATCAGGATCATCAGGATCTCTCTTCGTCTTCTGCTGAATGTGGATTGCCTAATTTGGTTTCGGATAAGGAGAATAATGATCGACCTTATCTGCTTTCGGATAAGGAGAATAGGGATAGGGATAGGGATATGAATAGGGATTGGGGTAGGAATAGGGATAGGGATAGAGAGGATCTTCATCGTGTTTGCGATGAGAAGAAGATGATTACTATTATGATGCCTGTTAGTGCACCCCTGAGGGAAGATTATGCAGCTCTACCGGTAGCAGAAGAAGGCGGGGAGTCTGAAAATAGACATAGCCTGCTGCTGTCAGATGAGAATAGGCATGGTGGTTTGTCTGGCGAGTGGAGGCCTCTGTTATCTCTCAATGTACCGGCTGACTTGGCATCTGACGTGGCTTTGGAATCGCTAAGCCCCTTGTCCTCATCCTCCTTGTCTTCCTTATCTTTCCACACTCCACTCCCCTCCACCCCTATGTCGCTTGCCTCTTGTCCAATCCCTTCGTCTGCTCATTCTCCCACTGTCCCTCCTATTTTTGGACCTTCTGCGGAGCCTTCGCCGAGGGTCGTGGTAACAGCTTGGCCAGAGACACGTGGACGTATCCCCGGACAGGTGACAGGAACGTCCTCCTCCCCGTCCTCCTCCTCTTCGTCCTCTGCATCCTCCTTCTTTGCATCCTCGTCGTTTTCGTCCTTATCCTCCCCGTACACTTCGTCTTCCTCCTGCCCTACATCCTGTACCTCCCTCTCTACCACTTCCTCTTTCCACTCCTCACCGTCGTCGTCGGCGGGATCGTCATTGCTAACGGCGGAGTTGGAGTCGCCGGTGTCGTTGCCGTCACCGCTGTCAGTGCTTGGATCGATATCGTTGGCGTCTTCCTGTTCAGTGTCATCGGTTCCACTTTCTGCGTGGCCCTATCCGTTACGAAGTGTGTACTCTTTTCCGGGTGCGATGGCATCTTCCTCTTCCTCCTTTTCAGTGACATCATCAGCCTCAATCTCAATACCCGGCTCCCCGTCACACTTGTCTTCACCCGTGTCTTCGTTGTCCTTTCGTCCTTTGTGCGCATCTCCTCCGTCCTTGTCATCCTCTCCAACTTTGTGGTCCCTTCGATCTCCGTCTTCGTCGCCTTTCCGGTCGCCCTCGTCGTATGCGTTGTCCCCAGCATCCCAACTCCCGACCGCGTTGAATTCCTCGACCTTATTGTCTTCATTGCCTGTACCATGCCCATCAACAGTGCCTCTGGTGCTGGCCTCTGGGTCCTTAATTATGGCGTCATCGCCCGGTGGTTATGCTGCTGGCCATCTTCAGCTACCTTCCTTGCCTCCTGAGGGTTCTGCCCCCTCCACCCAATCCTCTCTGCCCGATCCGTCCTCCACCTCCGATTCGTCATTGCTGCGCTCTTTCTTCTCGTTTTCCTTCCCTGCGTGGCAGCGACCCATCGCAAACGCCAGCCAGTCCGACGGCGAGAAGCCGGTGCACGGCGAAGAATCCTCGCCACAACCCTCTCAGTCCGTGTGCTCCGCAAGTCAAAGCTCAGTTGGTATACAGACTGCGGTGGATGCCGACTGCACCGCGGTCTCGTCTTCCTCTTCTTCCTCCTCGTCTTCACATTCATCTTCTTCTTCTTCTTCTTCTTCCTTTTCACCCACCTCCTCCTCGTGTAGCTCTTACACGAGTCAAACTCATCCGGACTTTGACTTGCACAAAGAGAAGTCAAACTCACCCACTTTGACTTCCACGTTGACTTCTCGCTTGGCTTCTGCTCTGACTTTCTCCTCATCGACCTCCTCTTCCTCTATTTCCTCGTGTGGGAATTTGCCACCTTTGACTTCTTCTTCGAGTTCCAGTTCGACTGCATCATCAACTTCCTCTACGACTTCCACGTGTCCAAATTTGTCCTCACCCACTTTGACTTCCACGTTGACTTCCTCGTTGACTTCTCGCTTGACTTCTGCTTTGAGTTTCTCTCCAAGTCCCTCCTCTTCCTTGACTTCCGCGTGTCCAAATGTCTCCACTTCTCCTTTGGCCTCTTTGTCAACGTCTGGTTTGACTTTGACTCCCTGCTCAACTTCGTCAGCAACTTCCGCTATGGCTTCCTCGGCTTTGACTTTGAGTCCTTCCACCTCGACATCCACATCGACAACTTCATATTTCGCTTCCCGTTTGACTTCTGCTTTGAGTTTTCGGTCAACGTCAGCTCCAGCTTCTTCCTCTTTACCTTCCACTTCTTCTTCTTCCTCTCCAGCTTTGACTTCCCCTGTGATTTCTTCCCCTTTCACGTCCTCCTCCTCCTCCTCCTCCTCTCCATCGTCCTCCTTGTCAGGTCCATCTATGGCTTTGCGTTTAACTTCGTACTCAACGTCAGCTCCAGCTTCCTCCTCTTTACCTTCCCCTTCTTCTTCTTCCTCTCCGGCTTTGACTTCCTTTGTGATTTCTTCCCCTTTCACCTCCTCCTCCTCCTCCTCCTCCTCCTCCTCCTCCTCCTCCTCCTCCTCCTCCTTGTCAGGTCCGTCTATGGCTTCCCGTTTGACTTCTGCCTTCAGTTTTCATCTGAGTTCGACTCCAGCCGCCTCTTCAGCCATGGCTTCGACGGCCGGTTCCAGTCCTTTGTCATCGAGTCCCTCGACATCCTTCGTTTCCACATCTTCCTCAGGGATGTTCTCCATGTTGTTCCCCGTCGCCTCCCTTGTCCAGAGCTCTACCCCGGCCTTCTCGTCATCCAATCCCGCTCCTGCCATTGCTTCAGCTGCTGCTTCCACTTCTCCTTGCAGTTCTTCGTCAGCCAGTCCTCCGATTTCCTCTTTATCCCTGGCTTCTTCAGGCATGTTGTCCTTGTTGTTCCCGTTCTCCTCTCGCAGCACTACCTTGGCCCCTTCCCCCTCCCCACCGTCTGCTTCAAGTTGCGCGTTGACTTGTTCTTCGACTTCTTCCTTACCCACGTCTTCTTCAGGCGTATTGTCCTTGGCATTGTTCCCTTCTCTAGTTCGGACCGCTCCCTCAGGCCCCTCCACTTCAACCTCCACACCCGTGTCGACCGCTGCTTCTAAGTCGTTCATCGTCTCTTCACCGGCTTCTTCATCCTCTTCTTTCTTTACTTCTTACAGCTTCTATTCCAGATCTTCTTCTTCTTCTTCTTCTTCTTCTTCTTCTTCTTCTTCTTCTTCTTCTTCTTCTTCTTCTTCTTCTTCTTCTTCTTCTTCTTCTTCTTCTTTACCTTCCTGCTCATCTCAAAGCCCACGAGGTATGTCATCGACATGCAGCATCAGCTTGCACCTGAACGACTCCTCCGGCAGGGCAGTGGTGGGTGGAGGGCTTGATACTGCTGCTCTCTCCACCAGCACAGAGGTTGGTGCTGCTGTGAGCTGTTTTTATTCTCAGCCGCAATCAACTCGCGAAACACGATCTGTAAATACGTTACCCTGGTCGTCGCCGCCTCTATTAGCGGCCGAGTGCGAAAGGTCGAACTCGACCTCATGTACATCCGCGCCTGTGGCCACGCCTCCAGGCCTCGAACGAATGGCTGATGAAATTCCCGGGCAGTTTTCTGGATCTGCTACATCCCAGGACATCCAGAACAATAGCCTGCCACCTGGCAGCTCTACGGCATTCAGCCGCCGAGAGCAAGGAGAGAATAGGATAAAGTCGGATGAAACTGCTGAGAGAGAGGGATGCACTAGCGAAAAGCAGGAGCTGGTTTCACTTGGTGGGCGTGGAACCGGCGTAGGTGGACTAAGCAGCGTGCAAAGTTCTGTTGGTGTTTCTTCTGCATCCGGTGTACATACTCATGTTGAGACGCATAGAGGGAAACAGGCGGGGAGCAGGGAGGAGGGGGTTGTACAGGATGGGTTTGTGACAAGGTCGGGTGGAACAACATACGCACAAGTTTCCGGGGGGGGATACTTTTCAGAACTTTCGGCAGACGGTATTGGCGGAAGTCGTGGCGATGGAGCAGCGACCGGGGAGGAGGAGGTCTCCGTACTAGGGACGCGGTCTCTACCCCATGGCACGAGCAAGGAGGGAACGCCAGTTCTATGTGTATCGCTGCAAGCAGAAGCCGGTGCGAGTACACACAAACTGACTATGGAAGGTGTAGGTGATGCAGGCGTTGCTGGTGAAGCAACTATGCTCTCGAGGTCATGGCATCTGGGCATGCGGTGGCCTTCATTGGGTGCACCTATCGTCAGAAGCGATGGCGGGGAGAAGAAGAGGGAGGCGGGACAGCAGGGGTGGTATGGGCTTTATGAGAGCCTGGGAACGAGCTCCTCCTCCTTCTTGTCCAGTCTCACCCCTTCGCTGCTGGCGGGGGTGTCGACCGGGGCTGCTGGCACCTCAGCATCTGCCCTGGGCAGGCAACGGGTTTTATTTGTCGATAGCCGCTGTCAAGTGTTGGAAGACGAAACGGAGAGCTTGCTGTTGGAGTCAGAGCTTGATGAGCTGCAGATGATCCTCTCGGCACCAGTTCCACGGGAGTTTGGTTTGGCGCAAGCCTGTCATCGATGCGGTCGAGTGAAGGGAGAAGGTGGGTGGTTTGGAGGCGAAGGCCATGAGACGGTGCCAAGGTCGTTAAGACCGTCCGCAACACAGTGTTCCCCAGAAGAGGCTGCATCGACCAACGACATGGCAGATGGAAATAGGAAGAACTCCGATGTCGTCTGCGTTTGTGATCAGGCTGAGAAACGCGTTTGGTCGGCCAAGGAGGCTCTCACGAAAAGTGGAGAAGGTATGAGCGCAGGGAACAGAGATGTCACGGCTCACGAATGCAGCGGTGATGGAAAAAGCGAGAGTGGGAGGTCATGTGGTGGCAGCTGCAGTTCGCCGACGGATGGGAGCTCATTGAAAACATCCATACTGAGTAACCCTCAGATACCCACAGTCGTCACAGCCACTGTGGTTGGCGCCCTTGTTGGCGGGGCAGTCGGAGGTCCAGTTGGGGCCTTAGTAGGTAAGGATTCTTTTTTTTTTTTAAAGAAAAAAAAAGAAAACCATTTCGGCCAGACGGAAGGAAGCGTGAGGGTATTTCATGTTGTAAAAAAAAAAAACAAAAACAAAAAAAAAAACGCTCATATAATCCTTTTTT